GTAAAGATAGATCCTGTTTAGAACAAATTAATCTAACAAACAAAGAATGGGATGCAATATCATTATTAATTAAGGTTCTAAGACTCTTTGCTAAAGTAACTGAGCTATTAGGAGGTAACAAATATGCTACTATTAGTTTTATGTATAGTGCGATTACAGTAATTAAGAAAGGGCTTTTTACAAATAATAACAATTCAAATATAGATTTTAATTTTTCTTTTGATATTTTTGATAATGATGTTGTTTATGAAGATAAAGAAGAATTAGAAGAAAATTATGTATCAAGCAAACAACAACAGGTTAAGATCAATAATACACAAAATTATATCGATCTTGAAAAAAAAATAAAATCGATATTGTATAATGCCATAATGCATTATTGAGATGTGTCTAGTAACAAAGCAATATTAGTAGCACTTTTGGACCCTCGCTATAAACTTCTTTTATTTATATTAGAATTTTTAAAAAATAGTGCCTTCAAATTACTTAAAACCGAATATGAAAAATTATAGGCTCTATATAGAATTAAAGAAAATAATAATACTCAAATTCAGTCAAATTCTTTATTAGCATCAATATTCCATAAAAGGTGTCTACAGCAAGAAGTTTCAGATTATCTTGGAGCTCAAGAAATTTCATGGGATCTATGTTCGTTAAGCTGGTGACATACTAATCAACAATGGTTTCCTGTATTAAGTAAATTAGCCTAAAAATATTTAACTATTCTAGTGATTTTGACTTTGAGTGAAAGGCTCTTTAGTAATACTGGAAATACAATAACAGCAAAAAGAATTTCACTTTTACTTACTACTTTTGAGCACTTAGTATTTTTAAAAAATAATTGGCAGATTACTGGAAGTATATTTTCTAATACAGAAAATAATAGAACCTAATATATATCAAGCATTTTTTGTCTTGTTTTCTGTTATCTTCAAATAAAGCTTAATTATAACTAACAAAATTGGAAGTATTTCTTTATCAAGTATACAGATTAGCTATAATATTAAGAGTCTTTGAATGGTTTTATGTAATAGCAAAAGTAAGAATTTGATTAAGCTTATAAGATAAATTACAATTATAATAGTTGCATGATCAGATTATAAAGTAAGTATCAATTATAGAATTTAGAGAAACAATATTTGCACAAATTATCTCAGATTTATATAATTAACTATTTTTTTTACTTATATACAAATGTAGAATTAAGTCTTAAGTAAGTATTCTTATTACAGTTATTCCCCACATATTATTTAGAATGTATTTATTTATATATTTTAACTAAATATAATCATTTTAATATTTACTTTTTAGTAAGTAATATATATTCGAATTAACGATACTATAGAACTTTTCATTCCTACCTATCATACTGTATCTGGTATTAGTGTTGCTAAATTACTTGAAAAAGATCATAAATAACCTTTTAAATAACCTAAATGATAATTACAAATTTGACAACATCTGTAAGCATAGACTATTTGATGATATTTTAATATGCCCTTATTAGAAATTTTTGTAAGTTTTTAAAGATTTTGATTAAATGGATTACAATACAAAGTATGTTTATACTAACTTTTGTAATGATAATATTTTTGCAGAACAAATATACACCAACTTTATTGAAAACATTATTATCCAAATGTCACTTACCAAAAATGAAATTATAATCACGTGAAATAGTAAAATAAAATAAATTAATATTTACTTGTTCGAGCATGGTGACTATATTCTGTTTAAATAATATGGTTAAGTAATGATTAGATTTGCATCAACTGTAGTTCTACAATACATTTATATTAATTCATAAGTTAAAAATAATTGTTATTTAATTATGGGTAGACAAGTCTAATAAATTGTTCTTGCCATTAAATAGTAATGTATAATATTTTAAATTTGTATATACATACAGTATTTGTTGAATTTAAGTTGATTCAGTAGTGTGAATATTTAGGACTTTTTCTATTTTGGCATAATTAAGCATTGTGTATAAAGCAGCGTGCATATTGAATATGAGGCCAACATGATAACATAATACCTCTGATGTAATGTGCTTATTCATATTAATTTTAAAATATATAAAAGCAAAGCATCTGTTTTAATGAAATAACTTTAATTGTTAGTAATGCTATATAGATATCTGTAGGTTATCTGGTTTATCTAGATATTTGTAAAATTGTCTAAATATCTGTGGGAGTTACCTAGTTGAGTACAAGATTTATCAAGTTAATCACGAATTAAATTTTAAGAATTATCTGGATATAGCTTTTATAGAATAAATATAACTATATGGTTAAATAGATATCTAGTTCTAACCTCTATTTACACCAACATTCGAGATATTATTTTTAGTTGCTGATATAATAGAAACATAGAAGATCCTAGAGAAATTGCTTTTGCAATACTCCAAAGATATATCACTCTCACTGCCTTACCCACTATTGACTTTGAATACTAAACTATCTTTGACCACTATATCGATTTAGCTTATAGTTTTGGATACAAAGAACTAGAACAATTTGATAGATATTTTGAAAACTTAGGCATATTCATATAATAATAGCAACAAGACGATACCTATAGTTTCATCTACCAAGATCAACATATTATCTACTGAGTTTCATCTTCTTCTAGTTTACCCTCTTATCAAGACGAAACTAACAACTCTAATTATCAACCTTCTCTATATTCACCTTGAGACATATTTGAAGTACTTCCTGTACCAGTTGACATACCCCAAGACCAATTCATTGAAGTAAACCTTGCTGCTATCTCAGAAGCATATGTTAAAGAACAACACTTACAACAAGAAGCAACTATACATCAAGAAGACCCTATCGAAGAAGAAGAATCAGATAGTACAGTCCAAGATATCTTTACTCTACTGAAACTTTTGCCTTACCTAATCTACCAGAACAACAAGACAACTTATCACCACTTGAACAACAAGAAGTTAACCTACCACCACCAAAGCAACCCGAAAACAATCATCAACTTTCACAACAACCACTTGTAGTACCTACACAACAACCACCTATAGTACCCCTGTTGCACCTCTTGCAAATATGGTCAAAGCTGCTGCTCTAAATGCTACTGCACAAGCAATAATCCAGTTGGCTAATGCTTTAGCTCCTGGAGGCAAAAAGTCTCTCATAAAATCAATTTCTTCACTAGTGATAGAAGCCAAGACCCAGTAGAATAGTTAGGTAAATTTGTATGAGCTATCATTGCTAATAACTGATTAGCTGCTCGACAACTTGCCCTTGCCCCTGTCTACCTTAAAGAAATTGCAGCTGAATGGTTCTGAGGTCTTAACCCTGCCCAATGCTTTCAATGATTACACTGCCCAAGCTCAAAGCTTTTATCATCTTTTTAAGACCCAATTTAGTTTTACTAAACAAAAGATCAAGTAGCAAAACAATTATTTGAGATTAAACAAGAAACAGATACTGTAGATGCTTATATAACTCGCTTTAAGAAGTTACAAGCTAGAGTAGATCCTGATGATAATTTTCTGACAACTTTATTCTTCAACTCTTTATTCAAGGACTCAGACCCGAGTATGCTATTAGAGTACAAGCTGGAGCTCCTGCTGATATAGCTGCTACTATTACTGCTACTTACAATTAGAAAAATAGCAAACTTATCTCCTCACCTACTACAGATACAGACCAAACAATCAAGCAACTAACCAACCAGATTGCTTAACTTAGCATCAACCTTGCCCAACAAAAACCTGCTACCAATATGGTACACTACACTGAAAACTCTACTACTGCCCTCAGAATCAGACAACTACCTACCTGCCATTACTACCAATACATTGAATATTTCATTGCTCAATGTTGTGCTAAATAGAAAAACCAAGAATGACCCTAAGACAGAAACTAAGATCATTATAATAATAATCATAGCTATAACTGATCTAGAAGCTGAGACAGAAACTATTCTAGATCTTATAATAGAAGTAGATCATGAGATAGGAATAGACCTAGAAGCTATAACAACTACTCTCAAAATTGAGATTATTCTTGAGAACAAGACAGTTACTATTTCTATATCGATAACTATAAAAGATCTTCAAATCGATCACCTTTTCCTACCAACATGATGTCAACTACCTTAACCAAACCTCTAAATCTTCTCCCATAAGCTAACAGAAATGGAAAACTCTCTTAAACAACTCTTCTATTCGAAGTGCTCTCTCTGCTCATCTTAGCCAGAAGCTAAAACCATAGCTATTACTTCTGAATCTACCATTACACTTGTCAAATGCAATATTAAAATTAGAAACAGACCTTACCAAGCTATTGTAGATAGCAAAGCATCTATTAGTATGATTGCTTATAAAGTAGTCCAAGAACTAGAACTAAAATTGAATAAGCCTCAACTAGTCTTACTATCTTTGTCACTAGAACTTTCTCTAGACCTTTATGAATTATTTGAGATCTCCCTATCCAAATTAAAAGAGCCACCATCTCTATTACTATTAAAGTAGTTGCTGCTACTTCCTACTTCTTACTCTTTGAAAATGACTGGTCCAAGAAAGTTGAAGCTAGCTATAACTAGAAAAATGGCTATTATTTCTTTAAGTAGAAAAATCACAAGTACCATACTCATACTACTTACGAAAATAATCAACCTCTTCCTGCTCATCCTACTGTTACCAACTAGAATAAATTAGAACATTATGAACAGGAATACTTGACACCTAAAAAGACTTATGTATTTGATACTACTTTTCAACAAGATACAGACAACCCTAACGACTTGACCACTTACCAACCGCATCATCATATCAGAAATCCTCTTCAAGTATGTAGAAATTGCAATTCATCTGCTCACCTCTTTGCTGAATATCCTACCAACCATTGCAACCATTATCAAGAAACTAGACATATTGTAGTTTATTGCCTTATGCAAGCCCCACAACGTACTTTATTTCAAACCTGTAAACAAAACTTGTATAGAAACTGTTCTAATAATTTCTGTTATGAATACAATAAACAAGGACATATTGCTATAGATTGTCTTTATACTGCCTTACGCAAACAGAATCAGACATACCAATGTGGCTGTGATTCTAATAAAGTAGCTACACAAAGAGCCTACTATCATAGTGCCAGATGTACTCACCACTGCTGCCAATACAAGAACCCAGAAAGGACTGAACAACTTAGGATCTTTGATAACCAATTTGTTTACCATGCTTACTATATAGACTTTCACTATGACTTGGATCGAAGTAACCCCAGAAGTATCCATTTTTACACTCAAGATAAAAGACAAGAAATTTTAGTCATCTGTAAAATCTGCCAACATTTGAATACCTGATTTAGGATGTATAATATAAAAAGTATAATCGAAGCTCTTTGATTTTGCAACCTTAAACATATGTATACATACAAAGCTAG